TAAGGGATTTAGGATTTTTAGAATGGTAAATAAGCGTTGGCTTGAACTGAAAGTCATCAGCTACATTATCTCCCAATAAGAGAGTCAGTCAATGGACACATTGATGTTTTGAAGCCAGTCACTGACTTCTCCTTATGTGTGAAAAGTCCTGAATTGATTGCATCTTCTTCCAGTCGAAGGCTGTTTTCATTTACATTGAAAACCTGTTGTTTTGCCACCGTCCTCAGTGCTCTTAGCAAGATCTTCTGGATACCTTGCTGCAGCTTCTCATCAACACTTGTTGCTTCACCTTCCACTTTTATGTTATGGATGTGGCTTCTTTTCTTAAACCTCAGACTAACCTCTGCTATCTTCACACTTTTCCTCTGCAGCGTCTCTCATTCAACCTTCGTAGAATTAAAGAATTAGGGTGCTGTTTTGGATTAGGCTTCGACTTAAGAGAATGTTATAACTGATTTGATTTTCTATGCAGACTAATAGAACTTCCTCCATGTCAGCAGTAAGGCTGTTTTGCTTTTTTACCATTTATATGTTCACTGGAGAAGCACTTTTAATTTTCGTCAAGAAATTTTCCTGTTCATTAACAACCTGTTTGGATCAAGAGGGTTTTCAGCCTATCTCAGCTTTTGACATGTCTTTCTCAACAAACTTAATCATTTCTAGTTTTTTATTTAAAGTGAGAGATGTATGACTACTTTTAACTTGAACATTTAGAGGCCATGGTAGGATTATTATTTGGCCAGATTTTAGTATTACCTTATCTGAGGGAGTAGGGAGGCATGAAAAGAGGGTGAGAGTTCGGGAAACTTTTCAGTTGGTGGAACAGTCAGAACACACATGACATTTATAGATTATTAAGTTAATTAACCATCTTATATGGGTGTGTGTTATGGTACCTCAAAACAATTGCAGCAGGAACATAAATGATCACTGATTGCAGGCCACCACAACAGATAGAATAATAATGAAAAGTTGTAAAATATTTACAAGAGTTTTCAAAATGTGACACAGAATGAAACCAGCCCGATTGTCCCATAGAACCGATATTTATGGTTTCTTTTGAATAAACTTAGAAATTGACCCTCCTAGTCTTAAAACTTGAGAAAGTTACACTTGTCTTATTTGGGATCCTTTTTCAGGAAGACAACCATCAGGCCTCTCAGTGTGAAGCAACTGAAACTTACCAAAACACTGTATCTGGGCAGTAAGACACCAGACCCCTCACCCTTCATGACTGCCCAACTGATCACCTGTTTGCTGTTGACCAGCTCCTCTTTCTTACCTTTTCCTAATTCCTGTTTTTGTGCATGTAGTTATATTTCTTCTCTGCTATATAACCAAACCCCAAGTTTTGGTTTTCATTGTTTGGGAAGATGGATTTGAGATCTCCCATCTCCTTGGCTGCAGCACCCAATTAAAACCTTCTTCCCTAGCGATAGTCGTGGTCTCACACTTTTCGTTACTATACTTTGTAATAAATAGGTCTTGAAATCTGGTAATATGTATCTTCCAACTTTGTTTTTCTTATTCAAAGTAGTTTTGGCTATTCTGTGTTCATTGCCTTTCCGTATAAATTTTAGAATTTCCCTGTGAATTTCTATAAAAACATGGCTGTTGGAATATTGAATGGGATTCTGCTGATGTTATTGCTCAATTTAGGGAGGATTGACATTTATTTATCTGGTGTTCAAGTCTGTGAACATAGATTTTTATTTATGTAGGTATATTTTAGTATTTTCAGCAGTGTTTTATAGTTTTTATTGTAAATGTCTTACATTTATTTTGTTAAGTTTATCCTAAGTATTTCTCAGTTTTGATGCCACTGTAAATGGTGCTTTGACAATTTCAGTTTCTAGTTGCTCATTGGTAGTGAAGAGAAATGAAATTATATTTGTGTATTGATAAAGATCTTGTGATTTTAGTAGCACACCACTAGGTTTGTTGTAGCTTGCTTAAAATTTTCTAAGGCCGGGTGCAATGGCTAAAGCCTATAATCCCAGCACTTTGGGAGGCCGAGGCAGGTGGATCACGAGGTCAAGAGATTGAGACCATCCTGGTCAACATGTTGAAGCCCCATCTCTACTAAAAATACAAAAAATTAGCTGGGCATGGTGGCGCGTGCCTGTAAACCCAGCTACTCAAGAGGCTGAGGCAGGAGAATTGCTTGAACCCAGGAGGCGGAGGTTGCGGTGAGCCGAGATTGTGCCATTGCACTCCAGCCTGGGTAACAACAGCGAAACTCCGTCTCAAAAAAAAAAAAAAAGTTTTTTTTCTATATACACAATCATGTGTCAATTTTACTTCTTTCCTTTCCAATCTGCATCTCCCATCCCCTTCCTGTTTTTTGGCCTTGCTGTGCTGGTTCTGTATGTTGAGTGGTAGTGTTATATATCTATTATAATTTTTACTTTATTGCAAAGAATTTTAGGTATCTAAGCTGACACATTTGACCCCCCCAGAAAAAGGTGATTGAACATATAAAATGAAAAATGGCATTCTGAAAAAAATGGAAGATGTTATAGAAATAAAATATGACATACCATTCATTCAAAACAAAGTTTTAATTTCAAGAAAAATTGTGTAATTATTTGGACAGTCTTATTTGATGATACATGAAAAATATATTGAATTTTTAGGTTCATTTACTTATTTTGACAGTTGTGAAGCTCTTTTGAAAGGTATAATGAATAAAGTAAGCTAACTAATTAAATACAACTTTTGGATAAACTTTGGAGACAGAGTTATTGAATCTGTTTTACAGAGTACAAGTATCTCTAGTACTTAGAAGGGCTATAAAAGCTTTAAGTATAATTATAGTTTGTTCAATAGAAGATGAGAGGTCATTCATGACTTTCAACAATAAGTGAAATTACTGCATGCTGTATGTTGCCTAGCGACTACAGACTGGGTATCCCTAATTTAAAAATTCAAAATCTGAAATGCTCCAAAATTGGGAACTTTTTGAGCACCAATATGACTTCCAAAGGAAATGCTCATTGGAGCATTTTGGATTTCAGATTTTTAGATTAGGGATGCTCAGCTGGTAAATAGATACAAATATTCCAAAATCTGAAATACTTCTAGTCTCAAGCATGTCAGCTAAGGGGTACTCAGTATTTGTTTGTTTGTTTATTCTTTTCTTTCTGAGAATTTAATTGTAATATTTCATGATGTAAAATTATATTACATTTTTTTATTGGGACACATCCATGCCTATTTGTTTACTTAACTGTTTATGACTGATTTAGAGAGTTGAGTATGCTCTCATTTGCATATGACCCACAAAACCTAAATTACTAATTATTTGGCTTTTTACAGAAAAAGCTTGGTAACCCCTAGTATTCTAGTTGCTTAATTAAAACTTTCCCAAGATTACTATTATATGCTCTTGCTTATTAAATATTTTTACATTAAAGAGATAGGTATAAATTATAAATAAAATTAAACTATAAATTATAAATATAGACTACTTGAAATAGCTCTCTTGCTAATTGCATTATTTAAAGCAGATATACTTACTATTATATGCTCTTGCTTATTAAATATTTTTATATTAAAGAGATAGGTATAAATTATAAATAAATAAAATTAAACTATAAATTATAAATATAGACTACTTGTATAGCTCTCTTGCTAATTGCATTATTTAAAGCAGATATACTTCTGTAGATTGTTTCATATATTTTTTATATATAATATATTCATATAATTATATATTTTATATGTTTATAATTTATAAATTTTATATATTTATAAAATATGTATTATACGTTTTTAAATGAGGGCATGATAACTTGATCTTTTCTTTTATAATGGTTATGATTTGTTTTTAAAATTTTGCTTACTAGATATTAATTACAGAAACCTTGATCTATACTCTTCCTGAATTAAATATAATTTGAAGACAACATGGTATAAATCAGCAGTTACCAAATGTCTGTATTCATGGTACCTTTAATGTCTTACTACTATTTTCACAGTGCCCCAGGGCAAAAGAAACACTGTGTAAGCAAACCCTGAGATCCACTTTTTTTTTGAGACAGTCTCACTCAGTTGCCAGCCTGGGGTACAGTGGCTCAATCCCAGTTCACTGCAACCTCTACCTCTGCCAGTTCAAGTATTCCAGTTCTGTGGTTTACTGTAATTGTGGAGACAGGTAGATTAAAGAATTGGCATACGTAATTCTGGGGCCTGCTAAGTCTGAATTTTGTAGAGCAGGCTGAAGATTTTTGTTAGGGTCTTGAGGCAAAATTTCTTTTTTCCTGGGCATACTGTTTTTTTGCTCTTAGGATTTTCAATGAATTGGATGAAGCTCCACCCACATTACTATCTAGAACATTATCCTTTACTTAGAGTCAACTGATTGTAAATGTTAATCACATCTACATAATACCATCATGACAATATCTAGCCTAGTGTTTGACCAAACAACTCAGCACCTTAGCCTAGCAGAGTTTACACGTAAAATTAGCCATCACATTCTGTATTATGTTAATTTGTTTTAGCATCATTTTTATTGTAGGATACAAATGTCTTAGGAAATCATTTTTCTTTGGAAACTCTGCAGTTTGAGTTTGCAACTTGTCCTCTCCTCTGAGAGTGGCAGCAAATTAGTCTAGCAAATTAGAGAACATTGAAAAATAATAATCCAATTGAATAAACTATAATCTAAGTACAAGTTGACAGTTTTGAAAAATGCATTTTTTTTTATTGTGCCAGATTGGCAGTGATTTATTAAATATTACTAAAATCACTCATTGGCTATATACATGTTTTGAATAAGTCTTTTTAATGCCCAGGATTAATTCGAGTCAGTTTCTGGTTTTGTTCGAATTGTCCATTTCCAGCTCGTGACTTAGCCCCAGTTCAAGTATTCCAGTTATGTGGTTTACTGTAATTGAATTTTAACCATGACTTTGGAGGTTTTATCTTTTAAAAGTACTTATCCACAAGTAAAATGTATTTTAGGTATTTTCAGATGCCTCCTCCTCTTCTTTTAGATGGACCAGCTTTTGGGAAATATGATTGAAATGTGGGTTGATCGAATGGACAACATTACCCAGCCCGAAAGAAGAAAACTTTCAGCTTTGGCTTTGCTTTCTCTTCTGCCATCTGATAATAGGTAAGGAAATGTTTCTTAAAATTTGTTTCTTTCAAGCATCAAAACGGAAACACTATTTTTGGCCATCAGTATTGCTGTGTGTTGCTGGGCAGTGGTACTTTTCTGTATATGGATGTGAATATTGTTAGTTGATAATGATGTGGTAAGTGTTGGTCCAGGTCTAGAAAGCAGTGAGTGGGATAAGTACTCTTGGATGGTGGAGGCTGTGGTTTATTTTGGTCGTATTCATTTTACAAGTTTATTTCATTCTTGTCTGAATTTCCATGTTTTATAATAACTATATTAGACTAATCTTCAGCCCTCTTTTTTACATAGACATTAAATATCTAACATTTTAAACTCAATAGCACTTCATAAATATGTTGTAAAGTATGATAATTCAAGAGTAGTGTTAGTTTTGTTTTCTTTTTATTTTGAATTATTTCTAAGGAACTTTTGTTTTTCTCTCCTAAAAATTCTCACTTCCAAAAAGCAAATACAAAATGCTTTCATTTGGCCATTTAAAGAAGAATATGTTTGTTTGTTTTAATTCCTATTTTGTGGAGTTTGGCATGAAATACTTTTAAAAATAAACTTTGACAGTCAGTACTTAGTTCTCCTTCACACTGTAGATTTTTAAAAGTGGTGGCAGGTATATAAGTAACACAGAGCTTGATTGGTCAATCTTCCTCATTACATTTTCTGGACAACTGCAAATGGATGCGGTATGGGACATTGCTTATACTTTTGACTTAGTCAGCTTGATTGAGCTTTGTATCAGTGCATACACGTGGAGTCCCCTTCTTTTTCATAGCAAGGTTATAGATTTTTTTTAGTGCATGGTCAGCACATTTCTTGAAACCCACTTCATGAATGCATTTATGAATGTTGGTGGTATAGTCTCAGGTCACCACCTTGTTGATGGCATAACAGCTTTTCTTGCTGCCCTTCTGTATCAAAGCCATTCTGCTGGGCCACTGTGGTTTTTTTTTTTTTTTTTTTGTACTTTTAATTCTAAAGCCTTAAAAGCAGGCCTCAGGGCTTTATGTTGTATGAAAAGAATAATGATACTACATTAGATCTTTATGTCTTAGGGCAGTGGTCCCCAGCCTTTTTGGCAATAGGGAGTGGTTTTGTGGAAGACAGTTTTTCTATGGACTGGGGAGGCAGAATGAAACTATTCCACCTCAGATCATCAGGCATTAGATTCTCATAAGGAGCATGCAACCTAGATCCCTCGCATGTACTGTTCACAATAAGGTTACTGCTCCTATGAGAATCTAATGCCACCACTGATCAGACAGGAGGCAGAGCTCGGGCGATAATGCTTGCTTACCCTCTGCTAACTTCCTGCTATGCAGCCTGGTTCCTAATAGACCATGGACTGATGGGTACCAGTCTGTGACCCAGGGGTTGGGGAGCACCATCTTAGGGAATTTTTAGAGCATATTTATTGTAGTGATAGGTTAGTGACATAAGTCCAGTTTTAGAAATCCTTATTTGTTCTTTATGTGTTATTTACTTCTACTGTGGTAATTTGTATTAAGGACATATGTAATTTGTATTAAGGACAAAATTATTTTGTCTCAACATCATAACAGTAGATAATACTTACCAAATGCCATATACTTTCCTAACTGCTTTATGTTGATATTTAATTCTTAAAACAGCCCCATGAGGTATAGACATGATTATCCCTTCTTACGTAGCAAACAATTACGTAAAAATGTTGAGTAACATTTCTAAGGTAGGAGATCTGGCATTTGGCATGGTATAAGTCAATTTGAACCTGAGCTGCTTAACACCAGGAATGCCTCTTTTAACCACCAGGTGATATTGCTTCTTCCCAGATGGACACACACAAGATGAACAGATTTCCTCACTAGGAAATGGTGTGGCATCTTATTTATTTTTGAAAGACAAATTTACCTACATTTTAGCTGATTAGTCTTTCTTTCTCTCAGTGGAAAAACAGTGACTTGAGAATTATTCAGGCTTTTAATATTGAAATGTTAAAGAATGTAGTCCTTGGTAGTAGTCAGCACTCTAAATGTTGGTTAGATAAATTAATGAATGGAAAGAAATTAGTTAATAAAGCATGTTAGAGTTTTCTCCAATATGAAGTTCTGAGATTATTGAAAGAAAGCTAGAAATGGTGGGGGTTAAGTGTAGGAAGATACCTGATTGTATCAGAAACATTTGTTTTACGTTTTTAATGAGAATACTGTTTGCTTCAACATATAATGTTATATAAGTGTGTGGTTGTTCAAAACCATTTTTGACATATAAGTTGTGGAAATTTAATGTATGCTGAGTATCCTTTATCCAAAATATTTTTTTCAGATTTTGGATTTTTGGGATTTTGAAATATTTGCATATGGATAACAAGATATTTTGGAGTTAGGACTCAAGTCTAAATGTGAAATTTATATTTCATATACTCCTTATACATATAGTCTGAAGATAATTTTATATAATATTTTAAATAATTTTCTATATGAAACAAAGTACTTGTGTGAAATTTTCCACTTGTAGCATTATCGTGGCATTAAAAAAAAATCTCATATTTGTGCCATTTCAGATTTCAGATTTTTGGATTAGGGATGCTCAGTCTATAGTTGTCATCTATAACAAAAATTAGCACTTAGACTGGGACTTAAGTCAACTTACATAAATTAAGGGATAGGTCGTAAGACTTGAAATTCTCTTAAACATTGGAATTTTAAATTTACAAGTTGTGATGTAGCGTTGTGATAGAAGATCATATATTATTTTTGTTTCTAAAATGAGATACAAATCTTATGGGCGTTAGCAAACTCATGTCATTTTTAAGGGTACTAAAAGTCTTGAATAATGTGGTTGTAGAATTTTAAAAAATAATGATTTCACTTCATAATATCCGTAATAGACTAGTGATGAAACATTGATATAGAAAATCTGTGTCAACCTGTAACAATCTGATAAAAACCACCTTTATTGCACTAGAAATTTTCCACATAGTAATTGACTTATGACTTAGGAAAATTTATAGTCACATGCTCTTGTGGAATGTGCTGATATTCAGGTCAGCAGTTTTATTGTTTCCTGTTTGTAACCTTTCTTCCAGTTAACTACATAGCTGTTGGAGTTTGGGGATATTTTTTCCCTTCTGCATTCCCAATGATGATTTCTTATTTTCTACATAATAGTAATTTCCTATTCTTGTGTTTCTTTTAGATTTTGCAGCATACCATTTCCTTTTTCCAAAATAAAGCATGTCTAAACGTGTGATGTTGATGATTTTGAAAGTCAGGCTAAATTGGGAAGTGTTTTAGCCTCCTTTTATTATGATGGCATTTGGGTCCAGATGATTATTTTTTGGGGAGAGTGTCCTGCATGTCCTGCACATTGTAGGATGTTTAGCATCGTCCCTGGCCACTACCGACTGGATGCTGATAGTACTGCCCCCTTCCTCCCACACCTTCAAGTCACAACAGTTGAAACTGTCATCAGATATTGTCATTAGATATCCCTGAGGACAAATGGTTGAACTCTCTTTTACTCTAATCCACTACTTTTGGTTTAGAAATTTGGTGAAGCCTATAGACTTTAGGTTCACACTCAAATCACAGGGCCACCAGTCACTTGCTAATGACCGTGGTCAAGTTACTTAACTCCCCTGTGCCTGTTTCCTTGTTCTTAAAATGGGAGTAGTAATAGTATCTTTCCAGTGAGGTTATTGTAGGGATTACGATCGAGTTTACATATGTAAGGTCAAACTGTGTGCATAGATGGAGTTGCTGTCCTTATTTCATCCCCTTCTTTTTCCCATCCATTTAATGCAGTACCTAATTCTAAAAGATGATTTAAATGGGAAAGATACATTTTTGCATCTGAAATACATAGTAAATTTTGTATTAAGAAAATGGACCTAAAGAAGTAACCAAATTCAGGCCAGCACAGTGGGCTCACACCTGTAATCCCAGCACTTTTGGAGGCTGAGGCTGGCAGATCATTTGAGGTCCAGACTTGGAGACCTGCCTAGGCCAACATGTTGAAACTCTATCTCTACTAAAAATACAGAAATTAGCCAGGTGTGGTGGCACACACTTGTAATTCTAGCTACTCAGGAGGCTGAGGGACTTGAGAATTCCCAGGGTTCTCAGGCAAAGGCCTTTGATCACTTTCCTCTCCCCTCATATGGAAGGAGTTTCTCTTTGTGCTGTACTGTTTGGAGTTAGACCTAGGACTGTGATTTATTTTGGACAGTGGGAAAGAGAGGGGGCTGCTGGTAGTAGCTTCCAAGGCAAAGCTGTCTGCATACTCTCTTCTCTCTCTCCCCCAAAAGCACAGCTTCTCTCTCTGCCCTGTGCTGCCTGGGGTTGGTGTAGGAATGGTGTAGGCAATGAGAGACTCTTCTTTCTGCTCCTTTCAGTGTGCCCCTTCTTATTTACCAGGTACTATGATCTCTCACCTGGTTTCTTTAGCTCTTGTGAAGGTATTTTCTTATTTGGATAATTCTGAAAATTATTCTGCAAATTGATGCTCCAGTGGAGTAATGCAAGGAAATGGTCATTGGAGGGTTCTGTTTTTCCATATTGCTCTGCCTCTTCTCTGAGTAGTTGCTCTTATTGTTGATGTTTTTATTCAAAATACAATCTGAACTGATTTCTAACTTAGTTCATATTATCTGATTATATTGTAATTTGTGGAAAAGGTCAGTGAAGTAACAAGGGGAGAGTTCTTTACAATTTTTATTTTGCCAGAGTTGACCATAAAAGGAACAGTCTTCATTGGGTATATTGAATGGTGACTGATTCCCTTTCTTGCATTGTTATGTAAGGAAAATAGAGACATGAATAAGATTACTTTGAAGTTTCAGGACCTCAGATGCTGAAATTCTGCTCCCTAACCACTCTTTGAATATATGGTTTACAAAGGGGCTATATATCCTTAGAAGTTCAAAAGAATAATTTTTACATTATGCATGTTTTCCTTTTTTGTATATAATCTAATGCAATTTATAGTTATTATTGGTTCTG